GCTTTCTCCCTCGGCGTTCATGATGGCATCCATTTGCTTCAATTGAGGAGGCCCCGGAGAGAGATATCACAAATTGAACGATGTAGCTTGATCTGGCAAGAATTTCTGGGGATTCTGGCCTGGGTTTGCCGCAACTCCCAGTGGTAAGCCAGTGACAGTCCACCTTTACGACATGTGTGATGAGTGTCATTTTTACATTCAGCTCGGCCACCCCCTGGCGGAGTGACCTTGGGCCAGTCCCGCAACCTTGCTGAGCCTCTGAAGTTCCGTTAAGCATTGTCGGGCAGCAACAAAGAGCTTGGGCTGTGGTGCGAGACAGAGCTGGGGTTGACTTCCAAGGCCACTTCTTGTGACTTCGGGCGAGCTAATCAATTTCACTGGGCCTCAGTTTCCTGCCCTAAGGGTAGTATCTTCTTAAGAGAGGTGTTTAAACATTAACAGCTAATGTATTCAGGGCCTTCAATGTGTAAGGGACCCTTTTAGATATTGACTTATTAAATCCTCATAAAAATCCCTCGGAGATGGATCTGAATAGTACGATGTCTGTTTCCCAGAGAGTGGATCGGAGACACAGGCCATTTGGGTTAAGTAACTGGCCCAGGGTCACGCAGCTAATAAGTGGATCCAAACTCAGAAAGTCCAGAGTCTATGGTCTTAACCAACTAGGCTGGAGAGGCCAATGCCTGGAGGCATTGCGAGGAGTGGATCCGGCATCCGACGTTGAATTTGGAGCAGAGAGCACAGCACAGGGTGGGCACTCCGTGAATGGTGCGTGGTAATTCTTGTTAGCATCGTCTCCCGCGTGGCCCCCGGGGCACGTATCCTGTAGCAAAGCGCCACCACCCCGGCGTGGGAGGCGGGGAGGGCGAGCGCGCTGGATGGTGGCTCATCAACATTTGGGGCTGTGAGAGCAGATGTGTGATCTTGCAGAACGATTCTCGCTTCAGGACTGTGTGTTGATGTTGATGTCGCGGCTGCTCTAAGCACCCCGGATACTGTTAACGAGCTGTTCCAAGCCCAGCTGCGGTGTTTTCTTACCAGATGGTCCACGCCGAAGTGCATGGTCTTTCAGACAGGGATGACACGGGTCTCACAGACGCCGAACCGCCACGCGTGGAAAACCTACCCAGGAGGGTCAGGCCCCCCAAACGGCGTCAGTTCCCCTCACGCCCAAGGATCATGCTTTCATCCGGACGTCCTTCGTGTGTCCGTCCGGCAACCACAAAGAGCTAGGGGGGCGGCTACCATATGTGGCGGGAACTGTGTTAGACGCGAGGGACACGAAGGGGAAAAAAACATTGCCCGCGGCTTTCAGGAACTGAGACTAGCCAGGAAGGGCCTGGGAACAAATCCTATTATGACAGTATTCTAAGCTCTCGATGCAGGCAGCTATCAAGGACTCTAGGAATGAAAGGGGTTTCATGAATGAAGGAATGAATGAATGAACATAACTGACTCAGCATCAGTTCTGAAAAGGGGAGATGACTACTTCCCGGATGGGGAACAGCTGCTGTGTATCTTCTTACTGGCAAAAAATCCTGGGTAGCCCATACCACACAGCTGTATCATGGCTTCATTGAGATGGTCTTACCATTGGGTGCCCAAATGCCAGGCGTCTCCCCAAACCACATGTTTTACTTCCTTTGTCACATGATCAAAGCCATTTAGGCTCCTCTGCCTTCTCCAGCACCCCTCCTCTCATTCCTCTTTGCACTGAGCCGAGCACACGCTCACTCCCCTACACACACTGGCTTGGAAGAGGGGTGCCATTTCATTCCAGATGCTTCAGATGAGGACTCGAGATCCACACACGTCTTGACAGACTGTAGCAATTAGCTGAAGTGCAGGAGATGAATTTGAAAGGGGCCCCATAAAAAGACAAACGCTGGGGTCTAAGAAGTGAATGGCAGAGGGCCAATGAGAAGGAAAACCTTGGCAACTGCTCCTGAGCTCACAGAAAAGGCCACAAAATCCATAGGCAACAATACATGGAGGAATTAAACATCTGGATGGGGCCATGTTGAAAATACCTATCTTCAAGTATTTTTTTGCATTAATAATGATTTAATATTTTCATAGTGTGACATGAGTTTCATACTAAGACAATGTCTCTGGGGGCACCTGGCTGGCTCAGTGGGTTGAGTGTCCAACCCTTGATCTCGGCTCAGGTCATGATCTCA